AAATCAAGAATAGAATTTAAAATCCTCCTTCTCACATATAAAGCCTTAAATGGCCAAGCTCCATCTTATATCAGAGATCTGATTGTTCCTTATGTTCCTAACAGGATTCGCTCTCAATCTGCAGGTTTACTAGTGGTTCCTAGAATTTCTAAAAGTAGAATGGGAGGCAGATCTTTTAGTTATCAGGCTCCTCTCCTGTGGAACCAACTACCAGTTTTAGTCCGTGAGGCAGACACCCTGTCTACTTTTAAGGCTAGGCTTAAAACTTTCCTTTTTGATAAAGCTTATAGTTAGGGTGGCTCCCAATTATCCTGAGCTATCTCTATAGTTATGCTGCTATAGGCTTAGACTTTTGGAGGACATAGGGACCCCCATTTCATCATTCTGCTTCATTCTCTCTCTGTTCTCCTATTCTGCAGAATCTGTTAGTTCAATCTCTAACCTTCTGCTCTCTCTGCTTTTCCTCAGAGTAGCTTTGCCTCGTCTGTTCCTGTTTGGCTGTGACGTCATCCTGGAAAAAACATCAGCTGTGCTGCTTCTATCAACACCCTTGTTAATAGATGTTGGAGATCGGCCTGTTTTCCAGTGTGGTCCTGTTTCTCTGACCGTGACTGAGTGGATGTGCTCTCTTCGTCCTCTGGCATGGGAGCTGCCTTGGAGCTCGTCTGCCTGGCTGTGTGTTTCCTGGACGGGGCCGCCTTTTACAGCTGCTTTTTGTATCTCTGCTTCTGTCTCCTTGAACCCCAGTCGGCCTCGGCAGATAGCCGCTCACACTGAGCCTGGTTCTGCTGGAGGTTTCTTCCTGTTAAAAGGGAGTTTTTCCTCTCCACTGTCGCTACAAGCATGCTTAGTGTGGGGGATTGTATTTGAGTCAATGAGTCAATGCAATCAACTGGTTTTCCTTAGATAGAAAACTTTGTATCAATTTGACTGTATGATCTGGTTGAACTGTAAAGTGCCTTGAGATGACATGTGTTGTGAATTTGCCGCTATATAAATAAACTGAATTGAATTGAATTGAAAATCTCTACCTTCATGTTGCCCATCTACATTAAGATCCAAAATTCTGAGATTAAAGTCAGAATTCTGAGAAAAAAAGTCAGAATTCTGAGATTAAAGTCAGAATTCTGAGAAAGAAGTCAGAATTATGAGATTAAAGTCAGAATTCTGTGAAAAAAAGTCAGATTATGTATTAAACTGAAATAAAATTTAAAAATCACTTAACTTTTTTCAGTGGCCCTAATCCTCTTCCGTAGTCTTGGGATGATCACTCATCCAATATTTAACTGCTAACTTTCTCTAGATGTTTGCCACGCTAGCCAAAATGTTATTTTTTTTTATATATCTCATTTCAGTACAATGCCACCACCAACTAAAAGGCTGAAACAGCAGTAGGACTTACTCAGATTTTTAAAAAAGAGAAACGTCAGTGTGAGTAACAGTCACCTTACACAACTTGTGTTGAAATTAGCCCGGTCTGGGATTTTTTATTTTTTGTGTGGTTTTGATTCGCCGAAATGGACAGATGTTATACCTGCCGCGCTCCTGATCGTTAGTTAAAACCACAGGGAGAATTAATTTTAATTCTTAGCAGTGAACTGCTGCACAACCACTAATTAACCAACTAATTAACTTCTGCACCTTTATTTCCTCAAATAAACTGCTGGCTCCTCTTTTTAGACTATAAACAGATTAACACAACATTGACAACTCTGTAGTTTTCTCTGTTCTGTACTGCAAATGGGAATTAAAGACGCCATTTCTACCAAAGGTCGGGACAGACTGGCGCACCAGCACCTCCTGACCCCACTAAGAGACAGGGTGTACAGAAAATGGAAGGATAGATGGATTTCTACTAAAGATTTAGAATGCGTTTTTGAACCAGATGCTTCAAAGCGCCCTGTCCATAATTCTTCACCACACTGTCAGCTCCCTCTGTCAGTCAATCTATATAAATTCATTTTTGACCATTATTGCAAGTTTGACAAAATAAAACATATCAAACTTTGCACTTCTGTGGCCTACTGAATTGTTTTTTATCCAACTGAAATATTTGATTTTCTAGTGCGTATGCAGACACTAAATATGCCAAGGGCTGAAGCCCTTGAAAGACATCTCCCTTTGCTTAATAAAAGACTCCAGTCATTTTGTTTGGTGATATGCTCACATCTTATGAACAAATGCATTATGTAAATTTTAAATGCATTATTTTTGCAAGACACATTTATAAAGGAATAAAGTAAAAGATTAAATAGCCTTTTTTTAAAGTAGCGTACTTAAGACATGTTTCTGTTGAATATTTACGAATGTCAGATTTCCGACATGTGCCCCCCCCCCAATTGTAAACATATTCCTACGCCCTTGCAATGGAGCAATAAAAATGATGAATAAAGCACAAATCCACCATAATCGTTGCTTTATTCTAAGGAGATACAAACTAATGAGCTTTGAAAGCTTTCAGAATGGCTTTTCTGTTTAGTTATTTAATAAATGTGTTAATAATTGACAGTGATGGGACTAACGGCGTTGAAAGTAACGGCCGTTACCTTGTTTTAGTAACGAGTAATCTAACTAATTACTTTGACTGTAACTATAACGCAGTTACCATTGCATACACCCCGTTACTGCGCGTTACTCAGGTCGCACAATGAACCTTTTTTCATGATAGGACTGGTGCGCAGCTGCGTGAAGCTGACACCCCACCCACGTCAAAAAACTCTCTAAATAAACTGAATGGTTAGTGCAACGTTAGTGCAGATTTGTGCAGAAAAAAATATTGTTTGTGCTACTTTTGTTTAAGAGATATTAAAGATTATTTTTTAGGTCATCCAGAGGTGCGCGCGTTGTCATGAGAGAGGGGAGGATGAGAATGGCTGATGAATAGTGAGATTCCCTCTGTCAGTTGGGAAGGTGGGTGTTTCCGCTGGCGGGTGTTAACGTACAGCACACACAGAGAGATGGAGAGTGAGGATGACTCCAGCAGCAAAACAGTGTTTTCCAGATGGAAATACCGGTGTTACGTCGAGCTGCGTTTCCCCATCACATACGGTTTCCTCTGCATCTCCGCACAGCGCAGGCGGCACGAGTCACCGCGCAAGCGACAGGAAACGCACATGCTCGCTAAAGGCGCGCAACAGTCGCCCTGTGCTCACGCCACAGGAGAACTATGTAGAGCGTGAACGATCAAATGAAAGGGAGAAATCTGGACGGATGGATGGATGGATGGATACTCTGCCTTTTCAACCTACTGTATTTTTTATTTTAAACATTATTTGATGGCCTTTGTGGCAGGGATGGAGATCCATATTTTATGTCACACGCAGAGTATACAGATAGATAGATTGATAGATAGATAGAAGTTGCAGTATCTATAACAACCCAAACACACAGGATTTCAGAATTAGACATCCCCAGTTATTAATTTCACCAGATCTGAATGCCCTGTTAAAAAACTTCCCATGGCGTTCCCCCCTGATGTAATTTACGTTGAGTTGCAATAAATGCTAAACTCTCTGCAGGTTCTTGTCTTTGTCATCCACTCTATTCAGCTGGCTTTGGAAACACACCGCGAGAAGGTGGGGGCCGGGTGGTGAGGGTTACGGGGGCGAGAAACGCAAAAGTAACGCAATAGTTACTTTTACTAGTAACTAGTTACTTTTATTGTGGAGTAACTCAGTTAGTAACTCAGTTACTTTTTGGGAGAAGTAACTAGTAACTATAACTAATTACTTTTTCAAAGTAACGTGCCCAACACTGATAACTGAGCACCTGAGCCACCGCATAGATTTGTTGAGAGACTAAAAACCACTAGAAACACCACAAATCTTCATCAGCTTCGTCAAATTTTATGGAAATAACTTAAGTAAAAAATTTCACCTTCAGACATAAAAAAGGTTAAAGATAAAAAATAATAATTTTGAATGACTAGATTTTAATAATTAGTTTATATCCCATTCTGGTTATTTTAATGCATTTATTGTTATTTATTATATAACAGTTCATTTTTCTGTTTAAGGTTGTTCTAGGGACTGGTGGTATGAATCAGCCATTGGCTATAAACACTGCAATACAGGCATCAGATTGTTTCTTGTCATAATAATGTATCTGTCCCTATTAAATAAGCCATTAAAAACAAAACAAACAAGAAAGTAAATGACAACCATTTTCAGAACATCCCCAAGCGAGGAGCATCACAAAAGGGAGGGAATCCAGCAACCAAAGAAGACGGTACTTAAACAAAACTCTAAATTGGCAAATTTTGCTGGGAAAAAAATTATTACAATAAATAAAACATACTAACTTAAAAACATTTAATAAAATAAAATCATTTCATTTAAAGTTATAGAGGAGGATCTTTTATTTCCAGGTGGATCATCTAAATAAAGGGTCCTCTTAATTGTCAATCATTCTCGTGATATGGTTACTTAAGGCCGTCCTACATGCTCATCCATTTATCTTTTATTTATCTTTTTTCTGCACATGCGCACTTTCAGGTGTATATCTGTGGGGAGCTATGGTTTCAGACAGTCATTGAAGCTCACCTTTCTCAACGCGGTTCTTTGAAAATGGCCGAGGGTCGTAAGAGAAAAAGTGTCTACAAAGTGTATGAGAAGAAAAGAAAGGCCTCACAAAAGGCAGATATATCCCAGAATGCTTTGCACAGGGAGTTCTCCTGGAGGTTATGTACAAAATTGTGCATGTGCATTTGTTTTTAAAGTAGATAGGGAGGGTCTTTTCAAAAATTTACCCAAATCCACCACTATACCCTTAAGAAGTAGTAAGAATAAAGGTTTCTAAGGCTTTGTAAGGCCCTAAATTAAAAAAACAATTGTTTTTATGGCATTTCCCAATCTAGAAGAAATCTTTACAAACGAATCAACGTTTAAAATATAAAATTCAATCTTTGTTGAACAAAAATCAAAGTATAAGAAATCAAAATTACACAAAACTTCACTTTGTATTTCTTACAGACAGTAAGGTCATTCAGTGGAATACTGGAGATGCCGAAAAGACGAGACATAATTGTCATTGTATTGATTGTGTTGCCTTGGGCGCTGCTCATCTTCTTTTGGCACCAAACCAAAATTAGCCTTGGTCCAGCTGCTCAAAAAGGTAAAATATCAATATTTGGTTAGCGCTATTCAGAAATTTGACTTTTTAAAGCCTTTTGCAAACCTTTGTCAGCAAGTTCTGACATTTTTTTTCAGCTTGGTTTCTGCTTTAGTTTTGCTAAATTACCCAAAAGAATCAGGTTTCTTTTAACTTTTGTGCTTATTCTAACTTCACTTCTTGATACTAAATATAAAACTCTCTGATACTGAAAATAACTGACTCTTATATTTGAGAAGCAAGTTTTAAATCTGTTGTTTAATGATGTTAGTATTTAGGTATTTTGTATTTGTTGATTTGTTGACACTTTTAAACTGACCTGCTGATAACTTGTAAGAGTTGATAAAGCTGGAAATTATCTAATTTCATTCATCACTGATTTCTTGTTGTGCTAGGACTTAATATTGCTGTTGGTCAAATCTAACCAAAGAAAAGACAATATTCTCACCTCAAAGATCTCATAGATGTGTAATTACAGAAGCTGTAGCTTGGTGTCTTTTTGCTCCTCACTCACTGACACTGAGTGGTGCATTGTACTCCTGAGCCTTAAAGAAATCCTTCTCACTTCATAACTGGTATTTCAGCAATGGTGCGCAAGGAGTACGTTTACATCCGGCCCCCGCCCTGGTCCAAAACCCTTCCTACTCTACACATCATCACTCCTACTTACAGCCGCCCAGTGCAGAAGGCTGAGCTGACTCGTTTGGCCAACACTTTGCTTCATGTCTCCAACCTGCACTGGATCGTAGTGGAGGACTCCAAGAATAGGACTGCTCTAGTTAGCCGCTTCCTTCAGGAAACAGGGCTTAACTTCACTCATCTCAATGTGGAGACCCCTTCAAACTTTAAAGCCAAAGGTGACCCCAGAGTACCACATGGTACGTTGCAGAGGAACCTGGCGCTGCAGTGGCTTAGAGAGACCTTTCCTCTAAACACCAGCAAGCCTGGAGTCGTTTACTTTGCAGATGATGACAACACATACAGTCTGCAGCTGTTTGAAGAGGTGAGCTAGTACATATTGCATGTAGAATTTATCTGTTTTTTGCTCTCTGGCTTCCCTGTTACATGACAATAATATGTCATAATGATTTCTGTAAATTCCTGTGAGTTTTTTTTAAATTTTTTTAATCTCTCTTTCATCTAACAGATGAGGTCCACGAAAAAAGTGTCTGTGTGGCCTGTGGCATTAGTGGGTGGCCTACGATACGAATCACCCAAGATAAACACTCTAGGCAAGGTGTATGGCTGGAAAGCTGTATTCGACCCACACAGACCGTTTGCCATTGACATGGCTGGGTTTGCAGTGAGCCTCAGCCTTATTCTGTCCAAACCTCAGGCTTATTTCAAGTTACGAGGGGTGAAAGGAGGATATCAGGAGAGCAGCTTACTGAAGGAACTGGTGACTCTCAGTGAATTGGAGCCTAAAGCTTCAAACTGCACTAAGGTATGATGATGTATCTAAATGTAGACGTCTTTCTACAGTTTAGACTCTGTTTTGGGGATTTTAGGTGAATGACTAACTAAAGTATTACATAACCGACACAGACAAGATCTGATAGACTACAAACACAATGTCCTCATCACCCCGGCCATGTCCTTCTTCTCCCTCTTACTTGCAGCTCCCATACCACACTTTCACACTGAGACACAGAATTCTTTATACCCTAGCTCTCTATTTGTGAGCAGATGAGAAAATAATTACACTTTTTGAGAAGGAAGAGTCGAAAACTCCCTTTTAACAGGAAGAAACCTCCAACAGAACCAGACTCAGTGTGAGCGACCATCTGCTGAGGCCGACTGAGGTTTAAGGAGGCAGAAGAAGAGATACAAAAAGCAACTGTAAGCCAGCTCCACAGGTGGCCCCGTCCAGGAAACACACATCCAGGAGGACGAGCTCCAAGCCAGCTCTCATTTCAGAGGACGAGGAGAACACATCCAGCCAGTCACAGTCAGAGAAACAGGACTACACTGAGAAACAGGCCGATCCAGGCTGATCTAGAAGTCTATGCCTATAGCAGCATAACTACAGAGATAGCTCAGGATAACCTGAGCCACTCTAACTGTAAGCTTAATCAAAAACGGAAAGTTTTAAGCCTACCCTTAAAAGTAGACAGTATGTCTGCTTCATGGGCTGAAACTGGTAGTTGGCTCCACAAGAGAGGATTCTGATGACTAAAAGATCTGCCTCTCATTCCACTTTTAGAAATTCTAGGAATCATTAGTAAACCTGCATATTGAGAGCGAAGTGCTCTGTTAGGAACATAAGGAACAATCGTATCTCTGATATAAGATGGAGCTTAGCCATTTAAGGCTTTATATGTTAGAAAGAGCCCCTCCTGGGCTGCCACCTTATCGTGGTGGAGGGGTTTGAGTGTCCCAATGATTTTAGGAGTTATGCTTTCTAGGGGCTTTATGCCCCCTAGTAGGGTTACCCAAGGCAGACAGGTCCTAGGTGAGGGGCCAGACAAGAGGAGCCCAAAAGACACCTTATGATGAATACAATCAATGGATCTAATGGTCCCTCGCCCGGACACGGGTCACCGGGGCCCCACTCTGGAACCAGGCCTGGAGGTGGGGGATGCTGTCGAGCGCCTGGTGGCAGGGCTTTTACTGATGGAGCCCGGCCGGGCACAGCACGAAGAGGAAATATGGGTCCCCCTTCCAATGGGCCACCTATAGGAGGGGCCAAAGGGGATTTAGGTGCATTTTGTGATGGGTGGCAGTCGAGGGCGGGGACCCTGGCGTTCTGACCCTCGGCTGAAGAAGCTGGCTCTTGGGACATGGAACGTCGTCTCTCTGGTGAGGAAGAAGCCTGAGTTAGTGCGCGAGGTGGAAAAGTTCCAGCTAGAGATAGTTGGACTTACCTCGACGCATGGCTCTGGCTCTGGAACCAGTCTGGAGTTGCCCCTGGTGAGAGGTGCCAAGCAGGAGTGGGCATTCTTGTTGCCCCTCATCTTGGTGCCTGTACGTTGGGGTTCAACCTGGTGAACGAGAGGGTTGCCTCCCTCCGCATACGTGTGGAAACAGCAGTTCAGATTGCCCACCCTTTTTGGAGTCCTTAAAGGGGGTACTGGAGAGTGCCCCTCCTGGGAACTCCCTTAATCTTCTGGGGGAATTCAACCCTCACGTGGGCAATGACAGTGAGACCTGGCGAGGCGTGGTTGGAAGGAATGGCCCACCTGACCTGAACTCGAGTGGTGTTCTGTTGTTGGACTTTTGTGCTCGTCATGGATTGTCCATAACGAACACCATGTTCAAGCATAAGGGTGTCCATATGTGCTCTTGGCATCAGGACACCCTAGGTTGTTGTTCAGTGATCGACTTTGTTGTTGTTTCATCTGACCTGCGGCCGCATGTCTTGGACACTCGGGTGAAGAGAGGGGCTGGCGCTCTCCACTGACCACTACCCGTGCCTGTTAGGTCTCTGTATGACTGGTGTCAGAGCCTGGTCTGCATTGCCGGCAATAAGTCGGACTTGTTTCAGGTGAGGGGTGAAGGTTGCTCTTTGTCACCGCTTCTGTTCATAACTTTTATGGACAGAATTTCTAGGCACAGCCAAGGAGTTGAGGGGATCTACCTTGGTGGCCTTAGGATTCCATCTCTGTTTTTTGCAGATGATGTGGTTCTGTTGGCTTCATCAGGGCATGATCTACAGCTCTCACTAGAGCGGTTCGCAGCCAAGTGTGAAGTGGCTGGGATGGGGATCAGTGCCTCCAAATCCGAGACCATGGTTTTAATCCGGAAAAGGGCCTTCTCCGGGTTGGGAGGATGTACTGCCCCTAGTGGAGGAGTTTAAGTGGAGGAGTTTAAGTATCTTGGGGTCTTGTTCAAGAATGAGGGGAAGATGGAGCGGCAGATCGACAGGCAGATTGGTGCGGCGTCTGCTGTGAAGCGGGCCCTGTACCACTCTGTAGTGGTGAAGAGAGAGCTGAGCCAAAAAGCAAAGGTCTCGATTTACTGGTTGATCTACGTTCCTACCCTCATCTATGGTCATGAGCTTTGGGTCATGACCGAAAGGAGATCCCGGATACAAGCGGCTGAAATGAGTTTTCTCCGTAGTGTGTCTGGGCTCTCCCTTAGAGATAGGGTGAGGAGCTCAGTCATTCGGGAAGGACTCAGAGTAGAGCCGCTGCTCCTCCACATCGAGAGGAGCCAGTTGAGGTGGCTCGGGCATCTGATTAGGATGCCTCCTGGACGTCTCCCTGGTGAGGTGTTCCAGGCATGTCCCACCGGGAGGAGGCCCAGGGGGAGACCCAGGACACATTGGAGGGACTATGTTTCTTGGCTGGCCTGGGAGCGCCTTGGGATTCCCCTGGAGGAGCTGGCCCAAGAGGCTGGGGAGATGGACGTCTGGGCCTCCCTACTGAAGCTGCTACCGCCGCGACCCGACCCCGGATAAGCGGAAGAAGATGGATGGATGGATGGATGGATGGATGGATGGATGGATGGATGGATGTGAGAAAGAGGATTTTAAATCCAGCAACTTCATGCTGTCCACCCACTGTATGGCTTCCCTGTTTCCCAGTAATCCACCACATAACCTCTTTGGTCCTGCCGGTGTACAAAAACTGTTTTATCCTGGAACCCCACTGCATCAGATTGTGCACGCCCTCTCTATAGTGGTTCTCATTTTTGCTCGATATGAGATATAAGGTGTTGTCTGCAAACTCAATATTCTGCATTAGTATTTCATTATTTTGACTAGCTTTCTGCTCGTTAATGTCTTTTTCCTTACCCACAGGTCTTAGTATGGCATACACAAACTGCTAAGCCTGTGCTGATAAATGAGAGCAAGAACGGATTTACAGACTCTACTGTGGAGATATAATCTTGATCTGACAAAGGTAAAAACATACATTTAAAAAAGCAAATTAATGCAGTTCAGTATGGTGATATTTTTAGGGGACTGGCCCAAAGTGAAAGGATACTGTTAACACTGAAGACTTTATTCCTTTATGGATGTAATAAGAAAATCACTTGTCCACAGTAAGGAGAAGGCTTAATTCAAAGCTTGTACCAGGATCTTCTTTTGTATTTCCCCATCCATATCAGCATTTCTCAGTTCTGTTTCACCAGGTCTGGTGTCTTCTACCTCTTAGAAGACCTCTTCTGTGTCTCTCTGTCAAATAGCAGGACTCTGGAGAATCTGACTCCTTTAAATTTAGCTTCTACCTCCTGTATATTACTCCTTTTACTGCACACTTTGCAGGGTCAACAGTAAGAACACTTTCCAGAGTAGGAAAGAACATCCAGACTGCGATGCAGAATCTAGTCAGCCTTTACCTCTACCAACAGCATTACACAATGCATTCAAACTTCAGAAAGTCTTGTCATTTTTATTGTCTGCTGGTACTATAGCCTTCTGGAAAAGAACTACAAAAACAAAAGTTAAACTTATACAATTATAGGGAATGGTTGAATGGCTGTATAATTGAGCTATTGATAGGAAGCATCCTACCTCCTCCTCCTAGCTCCTAACATACTGCCAGCACTATCCTGGCTGTGTGGACCTGTTTGACATTATCTTTATATCTCTGCTTCTTTCTTTATGTCTGCTTCTGTCTCCTTGAACCCCAGTCGGCCTCAGCAGATGGCCGTTCACACTGAGCCTGGTTCTACTGGAGGTTTCTTTCTGTTCAAAGGGAGTTTTCCTCTCTACTATCGCTACAAGCATGCTTGGCGTGAGGGATTGCTTTCGAGTCAATGACTGGATGCAATTTACTGGGTTTCCTTAGATAGAAAACTTTGAACCAATCTGGGTATATGATCTGGTTGAACTGTAAAGTGCCTTGAGATCTGGTGGAATTGTCTCTGTAAAGTGCCTCGGGATGATATGTGTCGTTAATGGGCACTATAGAAATAAACTGAATGTATGATGATGCAGCAACAGTCTAAGTCTAAGTGTTCTTATTCTTAACTCTATTCAGGAGGAGTCGTGACGACACACTGAGGAGACAATTCAGCCATTTGATTCAGGCGCTTGGAAGCAGACACATCTGCACTTAATGTTAGAACTAAATAACTTTATAATCTGGAAACCAAAAAACATCTCAATTGATTCTTAGCCTAGAAGTACTGCACCTCTTCATATTTAAAACTTTTGACCTCAGACATTTTTTTTTTATACAAGGGTTTATTTAACAAAAAACTAATTGGCAGATAGGTTAGAATTTCTGCACTTAATGTTACAGCTGAATAACTTTATAATCTGGTAAGGATAAAATAATTTGAATCTCAAAACCCTCAAAGTGACAGAGATTGTAGCTTCCTGTTTACAGTAACTATTTTATGTAGTTTAGGGGGATTTTTCTCCCAACAATTTATTCATGGGTTCACTTTGGGGTTCACTTCAGATGCACAAATACAGGAGCTCTAATGAGAAGCTTAAAAAAAATAATGTGGTTGCTGTAGCTGTTACTACAAATAATAAATGAATGCAGAAAAGTCTCCTGGTCTGTTTTATGTGCTAATGAAGATAAATCAAGGATTTTTTTCTATTTGTCATCTTAAATTTATTGGCAGAATGTCAGCATTGTCGTTTAGATATTGTTTGTCTTATTGGCAGTGGTGTCAAAAGTACACCCATTTGTTACTTAAGTAGAAGTATTGATACTGCAGTTTAAATACACTCTGCTACATGTTGAAGTATCAACTTGAACTCTTTATTCAAGTAAAAGTGAAAAGTATGTGCTCCAAAAACTACTTAAAGTATAAAAGTATAAAGTAACCCTTAAAAAATCCAGCCAGATGCCACTATATGAACTGAGAGCTCAATTTTTTGACTATTCCAAAAAACTCTATGAGATGATGAGATGAGGATGAGGGAGGTCTTGTTGGTCTCCGTCTCCATCTCCTGATTCGCTCTCGCCTGTGTCCGACCTTTCAGACATTTCCACATCTTTTTATGAATCTGACATTGTAGCATGGCATAGACAATTCACGTTTGCAGTCTGAAGAACACCTGCTTGCTTCTGATGATTTCCTTTAGCTAACCAATGAGTGTTTGCGTTATATGACTCATCCAATTACACTAGTTTTCACTAGATGTGGATGGCGCCAATGATCTGCATTGGATGGCGCACATGACGTGAAATAAATATTTATAAACATTAAACCGAAGCCAAGAGTAACAAGTTATCTTTGTTTAAAAAATGTAAGGAATAGAAGTCAGAAGTAGAAAGAAAAATAAGTAATGAAGAAAAGTATAGATTGCTAAAAAGTGTACTTAGGTACAGTAACGAAGTATTTGTACTTTGTTACTTGACACCTCTGCTTATTGGGAGCTTTGGCAAGTGTTTGGATCTGCTCTGGGAACAGCTAAGATCTGAGCGCTGAACATTTTAACCTGTTTTTGTGTAAATTATTGGAATTTAGGAAACAGGAGGGGAAAAAAAACAATGCTTGAAGTGAATGAAGTAGATTCATTCACTGTCAATGAATCAGAGCAATGAATGAGCAATTAATGAATCACCTGGAAGGTGCTCGTTGCTCTGATTAGCTTCTGTAGCTGATAGCTGTTCCAGTGGTACCACGTTTGGGTGCTTTGCAGCCAAGTCTGTTATTCTGTTTTTCTCTGTTTGACTAATACTTTTGGAGTCATTCAATTTTGCTTTGAGTGAAGATATTTTTTTTGTGCATCCTTTGTAGATCTAACAGATTTTTCCCTAAATGGTTGACAGAATTCTATTTAAAGTTTATCTCTCCTTCTGTACATCTTCAGGAACTTTGTGCGCTTCACTTTAACTGCTGGCTCTATAGCTCTATAGCTTAATAATTACCAAATTATCTCTTCTAATATAAACCACCATCTTTCTGAATATCTTTATAATATCTTAAGCACTTTATCTACCCAGATCCAACCTGTTTTTCTCGTTTTATTGCAGGGTGTTAAACTTGTGTGCAATGCTTTAGTCAAAGAGTGCGTGGGTGCTCCTTGCAAACTAGCTGACAGGATGTTAGGTTTATTCAATGATGATTATAAAATGAATGTGTGCTTATGAAACATTTGTGCAAGGGGGTGCTGTGTCTTGTGATTCAGTCAAGAGACCATCCTGCCTTGTCATTCTAGTGCAGCATCCTGTCTGTTAGTTAATATCTGTTAATAAAACGCTCTGTGGAGGAGGTCCAGTGGGAGACAGTGTTTTTGAGTCTGGGGTTCAACTGTCTCTCCTTCTGCAGAAATTGTATCCATTACTGTATATTTCAGTTCTTCCTTTGCAAACCTACATTTATGAACCCAACACAGGATTACATAAAAGATATAATTTCTAAACAACAGCTGGTGATGGGTGGACACTAAACAGCTTTTATAACCTCAGTTTGAAATGATGTTTTAAGAACACCTATATATAATGTGCTGACCAGGATTAACTGACTGACTGGCAATTTTATTATAAGAAGCCCTGAGATACTGCTTAGCTCGTTTAGTCGAGCGCTCGCTCAACTTCTTATTAAGTTGACAAAGAAATGTGTTAATCTGATGGTTCCTCCATGATCCTACCCTGTTTCAAACTTAGAAAAAGCAATTTAGGCAGTAGAAACAAATAGTAGAGCCAGAACATTTACAATTACTTTTGTTACATGCTCCAAATATACAAACTATTTTTATGTATGTATATATATATACATGTATATATATATATATATATTTAAATATATATATATATATATATATATATATATATATATATATATATATACATATATATATATATATATATATATATATATATATATATATATATATATATGTATATATATATATATATATATATATATATATATATATATATATATATATATATATATATATATACAACAAACCACACAAAATAATATAAATATAAATATACATTTATAACTATATATGTATATATATGCATATGTATAACTATAGATCCAAATAAAGTGATAGTGACGTGCAAAAACAGTGCAAAGAATGAATAAATGTCAATTTCAGAGGGGGTGTGTCTGAATCACTTGAGGGAGGCGTTGTGGAGATTGATGACCACAGGCAGGAATTATTTCCTGTGCTGAGTATAAATACATGTATGCTGTCTAAATGAATCATTTATGGTTTTACATAATATACACAAATAAGGCTGAACAGTTTTACTTTGTCTTTAATCAGGGTGAGAAATACCTGTCAATATTTGGGGGGTCTCCGTCTCCCAATTGTTGCGCAATACCGATCTAAATTTTCTCAATATGCAGTAGGCCTATAACATTGCAAAGTCAAAGTCAGCTTTAATGTCAATTCTTCACATTCACCAGACATACAAGGACTGGAGAGGACGTTTCTCATCCACCAACAGTGAAACAGATAAAGTGCACAGGCACAACAGATAAGATCAGTTCCTAATATTAAAATTTAAACATTCAATTTCATAATAAAATGTAAAATGCACAATAATATAAAATATACAATACTTCTGCTAGTGCAAAAAGGCAGATGGTAATGGCAGCAGAAAAATAATAATATAATTATTATTACCACTTATGTAAAATATATTTGTAACAGTAACAGTGCAAAAGAACAGTAAATAAATACAGTAATAATAGTAGTGCAGGAGACAGTTTGTCCCGGGTGATTATTTTTTTTGAGGGGGGCTCAGCTTCCTGACAGCCTGTTGGATGAAGTTTTCTGTGAATCTGGTGGAGCGGGCAAGAGCCTGAACAGTCAGTCAGTCTGTGAAAACACACACACAAAGACTGTCTGTCTATCTCTCTCTCTGTCTCTCTGTCTGTCTCTCTCTTTCACACACACGCATATGTCCTGCTTTAATCCAGTTTCTGACGAATGAAACTGGGTTGAATTTGTCCAGAGGAGGTCCAAAAACAGGAGTGAAGACCTGCTGTCTTTGCGCAATCTGTTCCGCGCTTGCCCGTGTTATTAACTGCGGAAAAGCACATGGCTAATTTGCATACGCGAACAGTATTGGCTGGCTCCACTTGGCAAAATCAGAACATATTTTTGAATAAAGGTTTTGAATTTTAAATACTGGGCATGTTGAGCTTAAAAACATTTTAGTTACCATTAGTGACAAAAAATATTTAATTTTTAATTTTTTTGACACAATTTAAGACCCCTTTAAATTTTGCTTTTGAGGCTTTCAGGGGGTCTCATGGGTTAATCGGACCCCCCCCCGTATTTCGCACACTGTCTTTCACTGTCTTTAATTATATAGAAGAGTTCAAAATGATCTACGGACACACATAATCTTAACCTTTCCACTCATAAAACACAGATACTAGTCCTGAAAAGAGCGTGAATTCCTCAATTATAATCTGTAATGTCAGTATATTGATGTTAATAATCCATTACTATATTTATGTCGTTAGTATTCAAAACATTAACAATTAAAATGGGTTAGGACGTTACAGTTGAGAGTATAGCTGCTGCCACTTCTGTTTTATTGGGTTTGTTCTAGAGGAAGAACAACAAATTAGCTGTTTTATTGGGTTTGTTCTAGAGGAGGAACAACAAATTAGCTGTTTTATTGGGTTTGCTCTAGAGGAGGAACAACAAATTAGCTGTTTTATTGGGTTTGTTCTAGAGGAGGAACAGCAAATTAGCTGTTTTATTGGGTTTGCTCTAGAGGAGGAACAACAAATTAGCTGTTTTATTGGGTTTGTTCTAGAAGAGGAACAACAAATTAGCTGTTCTATTGGGTTTGTTCTAGAGGAAGAACAACAAATTAGCTGTTTTATTGCCCCTCACGTGCCCCTGGTAAAAACAGAACTGGTTCCAACTTGGCTCCAGTTGAAGATTTAAACTGGTTTGGTGGAAAGTTGTCTTAGCTGTAGATTTACAAACACGTTGGAGGAGTTTAAAAACCCTTTTTTGTCATTTAAATCATACATCTGCTGGGAATCAAATCTAAAGGTAATTCATCCTTTTCATTATCCTGCTGCTGGTCATCTGAATGAAGCTCTACCTGCAGCACCTCTCTTA